AGGCGAAAAGACCCAACGATGGACGTGTTCCTTTTCTTCCGGTCGGGTCTTGGTGGTCTGCCTTTGGTCCAAAACGCGGCCCCGTCGGACGAGATGAGGCGGTGGGGCGGACCCTTGGAGGACCAGGCCACCCAGATTCCTGCACGTCGTACTGTGCAGTATGTCCTCCTTATGGCCTGATGGTATCTGATGGTATCTGATGGTATCTGATGGTCAAATGGTAGTTATAGTTATATACGTAGAAGTTTGATGAAGTTTGGGGGGGGAGTCACCCAGTGTGCACACAAATGGAACATCCGAGGTGTCTGGATTCGTCACCCCCCACCCCCCCAAAAAAGACAAAGGAAGAATGGAAGAATAACCAAAGCATCCATCATGACAATCTTCTTGAGCCCCTTCCGATCCAATTGGAAGATCCTCAACTTGGTCAGGACCAGCGCATATTGACTCCAGGAACTTCGCGACAAGGCCTCGGCCGCCACGCCACGCCACGCGCCGAAGCGAGCAAATGTAGCGTTGATCAAAAGAATTGAAAAAAGTTGGTCGTCCCCCTCCAGCGTGAACATGGACCCTCAAAATGGACGCATACTAGTTAATTACTAGATTCGAACATGCACATGTACGCACAGATGTATAACATGCACCGAGTCCTTTGACCGGCCAAAAAATGTGTTTTTCATATAGCGGGGATCCAGACCATGTGAGCCCCCTCCTCCGCGGCATCTGCTTTCGGACCTCAACCGCTTGAATTCTGGGCCACCCGGACGGGCGCTTGGATGGGATCGGTGATGGCGATCTCGCAGCAACACCTGCCGCTTGGACGACGCGGCGGTGCCGCGCGGCCGTTTCGCTGCCGTTGGCGCGCTGCCGTTGCGCGAGTGGGAAGAAGTTGCATGTTGGAGGTGGTGGGCGATTTAGTCTTTTCATGTTATTTTTCTATAGATTGGCGATTGGCTTTTAATACTTCACCAGGGACCAGCCCCTCAGCAGGTCCCTTCTGATACACACCCATTACCTCGCTTTCCTCACCGCCCTCTCCATTCAAAGCGCCTGGCCAAGATCTGTATCCGGCTCCTCGCGATGCGGTTCCGCCCGATCATGCAGATCCGCCGGAAGGTCGAGCCCACCGCTCGCAGCCCCGTGGCCCAGACGATGGCGTTGTCCACGAAGTCGTCGCTCCAGAGGATCGTCACGTAGGCGAAGTCGCGCGAGGGATCCTTCGGCTGCACCAGGAACTGCTCCGAGTCCTGGGCGACTTGACGGTGACGGTGGTGAAGGTGAAGGCGGAACAAGGGCCCAGACGGTCCGCTGGGCTTCGGTTCAGCTAAAGAAGATACATCCCCTGAGAGTCCAAGGGTTAACTCATTTTTGTCTCGGCCTGGTTGTGATGGATTACGATGAGCAGGTGGGGTAGAGACCGTGAATCCAGACGGAAGTTCTGGGTATGTTGAGGGGAGGTCGATGTGGTAAGGATCGAAAAGGCTCTGTCCCAAACAACTGGGGCGACAAGACTCAGACATTGGGCCCATGTGACGGAACCTCCGGAAGCGATACAAGGAAGCCATGGGAAGGGGAAATGCAACACTCATCACTCACATCAGTCCTGAATGGCTGCATTGTATTTGTAGCCCTGCTCGTAGAGTATCAGATTCCTGCAGCAAAAGGTCGCAGAAGGTGCAGGAATGTGCAGCAGAGTGCTTGTGGCACACTAACGTAGACACTTGATCGATCAAAAAGAAAGGCACTTTTTGAATTGAAGCACCTCTTCATTTAGGAGGGGGGGCGTTCTTCATCCAGCGTCTAAGCACCGGGGGGCCAACCGTATGGGGCGCGGCACTCCTTCCTCGAACCCGACAACACCGGAAGATCCGCGGCGCTGGGTGCAGCGCCGACGCGGCGCGGCCCGGCCGGTCCTGTGCAGGGCCGCGCTCCGGTTCTGCTCGTCCTGGCGCCGCGCAATGCTGAAGGACACCTCGTGGGTGCGCCAGCAGGTCCTGAGGTGACGGCAGCGGTGGAGTTCCGGGAACCGCCGCTCAAAGAAGCAGTTCTTCTTTGCAGGGGTGGCCAAGGTCGTTCTATTCTTCTCGGTTGGGTCGCTAAATCTCGGGTCCTTTGGTCTCATCGAAGGTTCCCTACAAGTCAAAGACCTCATTTTACTGGAGATGGTCATACAAAACCAGTATACTCAAGAAGGTCAGTCGGACCAGGTTTAACTTGCTCCTTAAACTCGGGTTGGATTCATCCAATGGGTTGGATTTCGATGCTTTGGCGTCGAAGTCGCGACGCTCGGGGGGGGTCGGGTCGTCCTGCTTTTGCCGGTGTTGTCCACCAGCACCACCTGGGCAAAGTACTGCCCAGGCTGCAGTCCAAAGACTTCGATATTCATGTACGCCGACACCAGCGTATCAATCACTTCGTTGACCTCCGACACGTGGCTTTGATCCACCCCGGCCACCACCGCCAAGATGTAGCCATCCTTCCGCAAGGAGAAGTCGCCCCAAATCCGCGTGCGGATCTTGGTGGGCGTCAGCGTGGGCGCTAAGCGCTGCCCTCTCCTGGCGCGGTCCGAAGTCCAAAGCAACCCACTTCTCCCGCCGGACCCTTCGGCCGAAGACATCCGACGAACACGACGAGGGGCTTCGAAGGCGAACGGCGAGGTCCCCCCCGCCTCGGCCATAAGACCTGCACGCCCGCCTGGCCAAACACGCACCAGGCACAGAGTGGGAGGAGTTCCACCTGACATCGACTATATAACCAGTATAGGAAAGGAAAACGGCTAAGCTGACGTTGCAAATCTGCACATTTTGGGGGCTTGTCTTTGTACATGTACATTTCATCATGGCACACTGCTGCAGAATCGAGCCATCCCCCCCGGGCAGCACCCTGGAGACCTCAGCCTCCCCTGCTTCGCAGGGTTTGATGGAAAACTCCGAGAACTCAGTAGGCACGCGGAGGGAGTTTCAGCAGAAACTGAGTCAGTCAGCTTCATCGATGTTTCCTTGGCAATAAAGACTGTCGATGCACTGGCACTCCAAGACGCCTTAGACAAATGGAGGTCCATATAAACCACCGACTCGGCGATCGTACCATCTACTCTGGAACCACTGTATATCCGTTGTTTGGGGGGCACCATTGTTCCACTCTCCCATAATCTATGCTCCTGGCTTGCGCTTCGCACAGTCCTGCACATATCAGCCACGCGCACGGTCCACAGATTGAAATGAGGACGTCTGAGAGGGTTGTAGAAGCATATTCTCCCCTTCTGTAGTCACATGCAATTGTTGGGCCTGGATTCCTTCAGTGGATGTTTTACAGAAAACGGGTTCCACACAGGTTCAAGCTGCGAGTATTGTCCCTGCCGTTCCTGGAAGGATTAGCCATGGCCACACAAAGAGCATGCCCCAGTCCGGCCAGTCCCATCAAACTTCATCGAAGCGACTGCTGCTGTGATCAAGCTGCCAAGGTTGGATTTCTAACTTCTGGAAGAACCATTCTAAACGTAACACTGTGGCAATAAATGGATAAGAAAAATGGAACCTGCGAAGTGTAAGTCATGATTCTGTCTGTTAACTGTTGAGCTTTTCAAGGTGGTGGTGGAGCCTATGGGGTAGAATTTCATTTGACGGCCCGTTCGACGACTGCACAGGGGGGCTGTCAGCCCTTCGACGGTGCCAGGATGTGCCATGCTTCAGGTCTCTGCTCTGATTGCGGCAAACCCCTGGCCGCGGTGCATGTCAAGTGCGTTCAAGCAGAAATGGCTTTGGGAAGCGAGTGGAAACGAGAGACGGCAGAAGCCGAACGGTGGAAGTTCATGCCTTGAATCGAATGAAACCTCTTGACTGACAAGCTGCCTGCCTGTCCAAGCAACCAAGAGATGGGGTGATCATGGACTTCCCTGGCCGCTTTGAAACCTACCCAGCACCGCACACATCTACGCACTCCAAGCAGGAGCTTGCCCAGCTCCTCAAGTTCTACAGGAAGCATTGAAAAATGGTTGCTTTTGGAAGCGCTTCTTGACCTTTTGGCAATCTGGACGTCTAGTGAGTCTAGTGATCAGTCTGGCGCGGCTCACATCCAGCATCTTTGACTTTCCTCGACAGCAGATGATCAGGATGAGAAAGGAAACCATCGCAAACAACAAAAACAAATGCTTCTCAGCTTTTTCCCACCTTGCTACGTTCTTAGTTCATGGGAAATAATAAATAACGGTTCATGAAACCATGGTTCTGAAGCTATGTGTCCAGACATAGTGCTTGCAATTGTTTCCGAAACGCTTTCTAAAACCCACAAAATTTACGTGGTTTCTCAAAATATCGTTTCTGAAAAGCGTGATTTCTGAAGCGCGCGTATAGTCTAAGTCTCTAAACCGTAGTTTCTGAAAGGGGGGTTCACTCGTTTCCTGATCTGGTTTGCAACTGTTCTGCACCACAGCGACGGGTTCTGTTCTTTGGCCTGCTTGGCGCGGTCTGCCGCGCGCTAAAGAGTGTGCTTCATCGGACACCGGGCGATGGTCGCGGGGAAGAGGCACGACGACTCAGCGTCGCCGGGAGAGGCTCAGGTCTCTTGAACCTGACCTGGTGCCACTAGGGTCGCATCGGGAGAAGAAAAAAAGCGACTTCACCAGCCCAGAGGGGGACCGAAACCAACCGGAAGAAGCAAGCCGAGACTCGTTTGTAGGTGCTTTTCTTGTCTTCACCTACCGTTCACTTGTTGGTATCAACTTTGATCCAAGTCTCCGAGACGTTCCGTGCACTTCAGTGCTCTTCAGCCACCATGAGGCCCATTTCAGGCAGATTCGAACTGTGACCTGCGAAAGCAAAAGTGCGGTGGTCTCCAAGGCTCCAAAGGCTCCAGCTTCTGACAAAACTGCTGTGGGAGAAACTCTTACAAAATCGTTTTGTTCAATTCCATGGCATAACGGCAGAGGCACTGCACCTCAGCAGCAGTTTGACACTGGACACTGTTTGGCCGCAGCTGCGCCAATTAGCTATTTAACTTAACTAAGAGAGAGGCGAAGTCTTTGCATCAGCCTTGCTTCTTAGGCTTCCTAGCAAAGTCGGGAGGACAACTTGGTTGGTCCATGCGAAATCTCCACGGCTCCACTCGTTGTAACCGGCAGGGGCTTGTAGCTTCCAGCTCTCTTTGGCCAAGCGCATTTGAAACAGGCCTATGACCGATACTGCTGGGTACCTGAAGGCAAGAAGTGCAAAAGCAGAAGGAAGCACATCATCTGTGTCTAAAGCTGGCCGCTGCTGAAAAGCTGTGGGAGTTAAAATCGACTTGCATAGAGACTTAGAGACTCATTTGATTGTTCTGGATCCATACAGACACTCTTACAGCAGTTTTGAAGAAAAAGACTCGACAAATTGAACAAGCTCATATGCCTAGTTGCACGGGCCCGTCAGGATGGAAAGGCATGGTGGCTTCTGTTCCGTGCTTCGTGCGCAGCTGCATCTCGTGGTTGTCCAAATCCACGGCCAAGCCAATGATGTCCTCCCTGCTCCATCTGGAAATCTCCAAGGCCTTCTTCTCCCTATCATTCCACCAAAGACATCTCTGGCCGTCAAAGGCCCAGCTGTGCGCATCATCTCCTACTCCGATATCACCGGCTTCGCCTGGCTGGAACTGGGCGCTCGCCCAGCCAACTTGAGGACACTTGAAATCGCTGAGGAACTGGATCTCGTAGTAGAACTTCCCGCCGCTCTGGGCAAGCTCGGGCAAACCACAGGTGAACCAGGTTAGACCAGTTGATGGTGGCTGCCGCGGCTTCAGAGCGGTGAGTCCGACCAGTTGTGGCTGAGGTCCACCAATGGCACCCGCCTTCTCCAGAACTGCGGTCAGGGCACTGCTGGAGTGATTGGCTTTGGCGATGTCCAGGGCGTAGGCTCCACCCAAGCCCGGCATGTTCACATCCACGATGCCAATCAAAAACTGTACCGCAGCAAGCTGATTCCTCTCAATCGCTGCATGGAGGACGGTGACCTTGAAGGTACATCCCACACTGTGGAGGAACTTGAGGCTCTCCCACATGCCCCTCTTTGGCAGCCACATGGACAGAAGTATCCCCATGCTTGTTCACCGTCTCCAAGTTGCATCCCACACTGTGGAGAAACCTGAGGGTCTCCACATGCCCAACTCTGGCAGCAAAATGGGCAGGAGTCACCCCATCCTCATCCACCGTCTCCATGTTGCAGCCAGCAGCGTGCAGGAACCGCAGGGCCTCCAGTTGGCCGGTCGCCGCAGCGGCGTGACACGGGGCCACTCCTTTGGCGTCGACCATGTCCAGGTCCACCGCCAAGCTCTGCAGGAAGCGGAGCACCTCAACGTGCCCTTCCTGGGCGGCATACTTGCTCGCCGCCGCGAGGTCGCAGCCGGCGGCGTGGAGAAGCTGCAAAACGTCCACATGGCCGTGCTCGGCCGCAGCGTCAGCTGGAGTCCTTCCTCTTCCACCTGAATCTCTGGCTTTGAGGTTGCAATTGCAACCCTTCAACAACTTCAGCACCTCCAGGTGTCCATTCGATGCGGCAATCCATGCCGGAGTTTGTCCAAACTTGTTGGCCTTCTCCAGGTCGCAGTCAGAAGTCTGCAGGAAACTCAAAGCTTGCGCCTGGCCATTTTCCGCAGCAATGAAGGCTGGCGTGGCTCCATTCCCATCTGTCGCCTTCAAATCGCCACCCTTGTCTTTCAGCAGCTTCATGACCTCGAGCTGACCTGCTTTGGCGGCGCAATGCATGGCCGAGGTGCCTTCCCAGATTGCAGAAGCGGAAGTGCTCTTGCGGAGCAAGGTGTGCACCACTGACACATGGCCTGCCTCGGCCGCCTGGCACAGCGCCGCAGCTCGTTCCGCGGGCTCAGACTGCTCAAACAGGTGGTCAACGTGGGCTGCAAAGCCCAGGCGTGCTGCTGTCTCCAACCGGCCGCCTTGCCAGCCACTGACCATAGGAAAAATGGGCACGCAGCAGCAGGATAGTGCAGCATCATCGCAAATGGCAAGGAGAAGGCTGAATAGGTAGCACATGGAAGCCATGAGCCCGATAATGGTAATGGACGGATTCTCTGACAGGGCACATTCATCTCCAGGCGGTGAAGAGAAGCTGCGAATGGCAAGAACGATGATGCCAACGGCTTCGCATGTGCGGAAGGCTAGCAGGCTTCGAAAGAAGCGCCTTTGTGCAGTCAACTGCCTGTTGAAGAAGCACCAAAAGGTGCTCAGGAAGCATGCTATGATGCCAACAAAGTAGTTCTTCGCCCACAGGGCGGACCACTTGAGGTCAAGTCCAAAGGATTTAGACTTGAAAAGCAGCACGACGATCAAAAGCTCTGCGAGCATAATGAGGGGCAGGAATGGCTGCTGGATCCCCTGTTTTGCCGCACCAGAGGGCCGCAAAGAAAAGCCCAGCAAGGCCCAGAGCCCGAGCCGGGCAAAGCCATCGCACATGCGGAACAAAAGCAGGGCGGGTTGTGGAAGAAGGGCCTTTTCCACCTTGCGACCTTCAGGCATGCAGAGTTCATAGGCCTTGTTGAGGCCCTTGGCCACAGTGAAAATTGACAAAGCTATGGAACCTGCCAACAAGTATGGATTTCCGCTGGGCTGGCTCACCATCAAGGCGTAGATCTGCAGTAAACTTGAGGGAGCACCCTCACAAAGCGAGGACAGGATCTTCTCCTCTTGGAGATTCTTGCTCAGTGCTTTTCCCCACGACTTGTAGGCCATGATGATGGGCTCGACTTGTAGGAGGTAAAGCATCAACGTTGTCCAAGTGGGCAGCGGTTCACCCTGTTCATTCAAGTTCGAAAAATAGAGGTCAGCCTTTATGCCAGAATCGCACCGTTGCCAGCTGAGACGACGGTGCAAGAACGCGATGCATCCGCTTCCCAGCCAAATAGTGATGAGAAGGCTGCCGAACACATACAGGCCACTCTTGAAGTAGGAGTACGTGACATAGACATCGGACAACATGTCTGCGACCCAAAATCCAACCATCAAAACCACCTCACCTTTTGCCATCAAAGTGCCCTCATCACCCTCACCCTCCATCTGCAACAAGGACGTGTACACAGCAGTGGCATTCCTGGCAAGGTACTCTTTGAGGATGAAGGCCGCAGCTCCCACCAAAGCTCCCAGCACTCCCAGGACCAGAAGAATCCAGTGCGATCGCACCAAGTCCTCGCTGCTCCAGATCAGCTCCTGCACGGTGCCCTGCACCTCCTGAACCACACAAGGCCCCGGCAAGAGCTTCGTCGCCGCCAAGGCCTCCCAGCCCTGCCGCGCCCAGTGGAACGGCGAAGCGCCAAGCCGCCGCGCGCGGCTCCGCGCGTCGAGCTCATCTTCACCGGAGCGCCACAGGCTGCAAAGGCTCAGCAGGCTGCATAGGCCCAGCAGGGCGGCACGCGCCGCCACGACCAGCTTTGGGGACATCGCTTTGGCCATGGCGGGACAGTGTTTCGGGTGGGCTTGGGAAGTCAACAAGAATGCCATTTCTGCTTGAAAACAGCCTGTATGCGATGCTTCGATGCAACTGCTCTGTTTCCATGGCAACTGCCAATGGTCCCTTCCCAGCGCTGTGAGCCAGCCAGGTTCGCAGACTCGGAATCTGAACCCTGTTTAATTTCCAAGCATCACTTTCCTCTATACTCTACGCAACTGCTGAAGCTTGACATGCAAAAAGCATCACTGGTGCAAGAAGTCCACCTGATCTCCATGTCCCGCTGCTCATCCCGCTTCCCTGGTGCGAGGAAAGTGCTTGTGCTTGTAAACAAGTGATCAACCGTCAGAATCCTCAAGCGTCCTCCGAAAAATCACGCCAACAACACCAAGAAATATGCCAAAAATAGCAAAAACAAAAACAAAAAAAACTCAGGTCGACCGACTCAGGTCGACGACACCAGGAGCTCATCGCCTTGGAGCGCCGACATGCGCCGACATGAGGGCCTTAGCGGCCCCAGCTCTCCGGCGGCGGTTTTGTCAGCGGCCTGGCATCCCCAAAAAACACGAGCCCGGACCACCCACCAGAAAAGGTTGCAAAGAAAATTGCAAACACTCCCATTGATTCTGTATTGATTCTTGCTTCCTCTTGCTCTTCTTCCTCCTTTCGAGGCCCCACACATGTCGGGTCTCTCTCCCGTCCTCGGCAGCCCCCGGACCATCACATCGGTCGACCGGTAGCCCCGTCGACGGGAATCGATCGCATCACCAACGACCTGGGTGGCGCGACAGCGTGGAGGGAGCGCGACCTCTTTCGGTTCCGAGCGCATCTGTTTTTCGTTCGACTCTTGAGGCTCCCAACGAGGCCTTCATGCAGGTGGCACAATGGCCGGATCCTCGACATGTCACAAGCTACAGAAACTTGAGCAGAATCCAATATACAATGATATACAAAGCGCTCCTGGATGAAAAAGACCGCCCCAAATGCAGATCTCGCCACCCAAAGCAGGAGCAGATCATGAGAGCCTAAGATGAAATCCCATATGCTGAATGCGAACCATCGGCAAATCATCTTGAGGACGTACTTGTCAAACGACTATGCCCGCCTCCAAGTGTGACTTGTGGCCATAAATGCACCTGCATTGACCACTCCAAACCGACGAACCGAAGAATCCTTCTGAACGTGTTTCCTTCCTATGGCGTCGTCTAGCACGGTTCCTATCGATATGAAACCCAATTCAAGACAACGTTGAAGCCTATAGGGGCGTGCGTGATGGTTGAAATAACTCAGGGCGCTCGACTTTCCCGAAAGCTGCCAGCAGAACCAGCTGGCCGACGCGGCCACCCGACTCGGCCCCCACTGGGCCCCCACCTCCACCGCGCCGCATGCGGCCCAATCCACCGGACGTCGGGGATCGCTCGGGATCCCCCACTAGACCAACCAACACACCGATGCTCCACCAAGTTCGGGACCGGACCCTCCTTTGGCCACCTGGGAGCCTTGAAAGAGCCGACCCAAATCCACAAGTCGGACCTTCGGCACTCAGAAACCACTGAAACCGCGGCGCGGTGTGACCATGGCTCGCGATAACACGAGGCGGACAACTCACGTGTCAGTCAGTTCTAAGTAGCAACCTCGGGTTCGGAGTTTGTATGCTTGCTCCTTCAACCAGAATGGGGGTGAGGATGCCCCACTTTGCACAAACAAAACCGCATATATATATATATATTAATTTATACGAGATTGCAATGTAAAAACCCAATCACAAATAATAAAATATGATGAGGAAATCCATCAGCATCAAAGGGAAATGTTTGGTTTAACCTTAGCGAGGCTTGAGGCTGAAGATGTTCGAAACGTTTTCGTGCTTTACTTTAGGTTTGTTTCGTTTTAAATCTGCCGTCTGCAGGGAAAATTTGTTGCACAACAAGCGTATACGAAACAAAATGTGCGCCGATTTTTCGTGCACTGCTTTCAGACTGCTTATGATCCCCCGCGTTTTCTCTCTCTGTCTGTCTCTTTCTGGGTTTGCCTGGCGTGCCTGCTCCACCCAGAACGAGCGGTCGCAGCAATCACTGCGGTTTCCCACGCATTGGTGGTGGAGGACGCCTTCTTCCTTCGACACACTATGGTAACGTCATAGAACAGCCATTCAGCCGTGGTCAATGGTTTTTGTCGCGCGGTGGTGTGGCAGAGTTTGACTTTGAAGAGTTTTGACATGGCTTCAACGTTGAAATGAATGATGTTGGAACACTTTTGGAAAATAAAGTCCGCAACATTGAACAAAGGATAAAACAAGAACAACAAAGGATGTCACTTCAAAGCTGCTGCAGGACAGCCCAAAACATGTGTTTAAAGAAAATCCAGGCGTTGCCAATTTTTTTCGCTGGAGGCCACTTGGTGGCTGAACACGCCCGGCGGCACTGAAACACAAAAAACGGTGTATCCAACACAACAACGGCCACACGTCCAAAATAGATATTTGCCACCGTTTGGTCGCATTCGCTGGATGGAAGACATGTGACTGCTGTTCGGTCATGTTCTGTGCCGCTTTGGCATTCGTGTATAGGCCCATCTAGCTACATAGCCCACGGGAGTCCAAGATCATTATCACAATGATCTTTAGGCGATTCGCCAAGGATTTGCCGGTGCTTCGGCCTTTCCAACAATAGTTATTGGACTTCAAGGATGGTGCATACTTTTGGCTTGTATATAGACATGTGTCTAAATAGACATACTTACCTTCGTAAAGATGTTGGTAGCACCCCTGTGTCAACAATGCCGCGCCGAATTTGGCAGACTGCAGCTCAGGGCCAACAGTTTTTGCCACTTCCATCCACTTTTCAACAAAGTTTGCAATCCCATCTAAGAAAGTGGATGACCCCAACATTACGCCGTGAAGTCCTTGGAAAATTGGTTGGTGAATTTGGGTTGGAAGCCGTTTACTTTTCAGACAGATCAGGAACCTGTGATATTGAAATTGGCGAAGACTTTGCAAAAGAAAATTGGAAATCAGTTGCGAGAGCGCCCTCGTTCTTCATCCCAGTCCCTAGCTGACGGGGAAACGGTGAATCAACAGGGCGCAGGTAGAGTCAGGACATGGGTGAGCGTGCTTTCTGAGCAGTATGGTGTTGACATTCGCAACACGCACCGTTTGTTTCCGTGGATTGTCCGACATGTGGCATGGTCAATGGCACGGTTGCATGTGAACAGTAGTAGGACCACACCATTTCGTATCATCAAGGGCCATGATTTTTGTGGTGAACTGCTGCCTTTCGGCGAGTGCGTGCAAAGCAAAGTGGCCTAACATGAAAGATCTGGCAAAAGGAGTTCCGCGTTGGGCGCGTGGGGTGTCGCGGGAAAATCCGAAGGGCCTGACGAGTTCGTAGTGTTGACACCCACTGGCGCGCACACTTTCCGCACTGTACGCCGCTTGTCGGGAGACCAACGACACAGTGTTGAATGTTTGGGGTCCACAGCTGGGCTGCCATGGAACACCAAGGAGGGCAGCTCGGAAAGTGCAACCAGCACTTGTAGTCAGCCAGCCGCGTGTCGAGTTCGTACCGGTGGTGCCCCCAGCGGTCGTCGCGCAACAGCCGGACACAGGTACAAAACAAGGAGCGACGGGAAGGAAACACAAGCAAGAAACCAAAACTACGAGCGGAGGAGGACCTGGATGTGAGCATGTTCCCCGCGCAGCCTCAAGGCCAGGTACCTGAAACTTTCAACATCGCCACACCCCGGCGCAGTTCAATACCTTCAAGCCCCAACAGCCCCACAACTTCGGCCGCATCGGTTAAGAGTAGGCCACCAGTTGCCGGGTGAGGCGGGTAACACCGCACCAAGGGACGTCGCAGGCGAAGGGGGGATGGAGGTCGAAACCGGTGCACGCAAAATATCTGGGATTTCTGACAAATTGTTGACCAAGTTTGTTGAAGGCGACGATGAGAATGTAATTGCAGATGTTGTGGAAATTTTGGACACGTGTTTGTCACCAGAAGAAAGGCACATGGCAAGGTTGCAGGAATTTAAAAAACTGGAAGGGGTATTCAAAGAATTTACTCCTTGAGACGGGCGCGCGTTGCCACCAAACATTTAGGTTTTCAACCATGTTTGGGTTGACAAAAAGAATAATGGAGTAGCCAAGAGTAGACTCACAAACCCCAGAGCAACGGTTGTTCCGAGGGCCGGTCCAATTTTTGCCCTACACCCCACCCAGAATCATTGAAAATTTTGGAAGTTTATTCTCGTTTGAACACATTTCCGCGCTCGAAAGCCGATCTGACCAGTGCTTTCCTGATCGCCCGAAACAGTGGAGATGACCAAGGCCAACCCACTTGCCTCCGACCACCTCAGGAACGGTTGGACGGTTGCGAGTCTTAGTTAGCAAAGCAAAGCCCAAAAGTGCAACAGGAATTGGCAAATGTCCCGAAACAACACACTGTGCGGCAAGTAGATGGAAATATTTATGGGCGACAGCCAGCTGCCGCTGCGTACAGGCAAGAGTTGGAAAACATTTTGTTGACAGAACTTGAAGATGTTTGCACGGTGTTCCATTGGAACAATCAACTATGGACACGTATAAACTGGTTGATGGTTTAGGCCCCCATGAGCCATTGCCATTGCATGCTTACACCGAAAGTGATTGGGATGGATGCGTAGATACCCGCAAGTCCAGTTCAGGTGAGGTAATTGTGTTGGCAGGTACAGTGGTTGAAACAAAAAGCACAACGCAACCGGGCGTCCCTGCAACCAGTTTTGGTGAGGCTGAGATGCGATCTTTAACGCGCTGTGCTCAAAGTTGCGTGTACGTGAAAAATCTAGCCCAAGAAGATTTTGGGATGAAAATCGATACACCACGTGTTTGGTGTGATTCTTCAGCCGCGTTGCAAGCCGCCAAGCGCATAGGGCTAGCTAAGATGAGACATGTTGCTGTTGGACACATGTACATTCAGGAATTGGTGCGTACGAAACAAGTCATTATTGGCAAAAATGACGGGAAACA